GATGTCATTGCTGTGGCGCGAAATGCAGCTGAAGGGCAGGAAGTGATTTTTTTATTTAGGAATCGCTAGCAGAAACTCAAAATGCCTATGTTTTGCGTTGCTTATTGATGCTCAAATCGGTCAAACCGAGAAACCACAAGGAGCTTTGTCTTTTGGCTTGTGTTTTTATTGGACCTGAGGCTTTTCTTTGGTTCTGAGAGACAGTGGTGAAAGTGGAGCTCAAAAGGCATGCCCAGAGACCTCATGTACTGCGAACAGTTTGCTTTCCTGTCCAAGGTCAGTTTTAAACTGGCTTTTCTTTCTCGAATGCCAGTGCACTGAACATTTCAAATGTCACTGACCTAAAACAAGGGAGGGAAAATAAATACCGTGTCTGAGTGACTCTGTGTGTAGGAGAGAAAAAAGAGATTGCAGAAATGAGGATAGAGGAAAATACTCTTACCGTAAACAAGAAATTACTTTAGGAGTGTTTAATGTGGGAGTTTAATATACAATGTCAGCAATGTTATAGAAACATGTATACATTGGCAGAGCTATACACATAATAATGAAATGATTCAGAATAGGGGTCAGTATTTGCGGTTATGGGTAAGGTGTACTATTAATCTAGTAATTTGTGCATCATTTAAATGGGCTGCCCATTTACCATTTACTGTTGCCATAAAGAAATGCATGGGTTAAAATCGGATTATTTTTTTCAATTTTTTTATTTATTTTTCTTTTTTTCTTTGGATGTAATTACTATTATTTTCAGGTGTACTAATCATATTAATTTTTGCTGTGATTTCAAAATTGCCATTGAGAATACAATTTTACAGGTTTTGGTATTGACTACTAAAATGTTGGCATTGTGTCAACCCTTGAGCTTGCCATGAACATTTTTTTATAATTTTCCTCAAAGAATTCATTATTTTAGATTCCTTGATTAAAGAGGCAGAATGGATGATTTCATATGAAAGCCTTTCGTTACACATTAAGTAGATGGATTAGCAACTCCCAGCTGATCTCTCTTCTTTTACATTGAGAAAACTGGGTAAATATCACCATGGTTTTTTAATTAAAAGCAGTATGTGAAAGAGAAGGGGAATGGTTTATTTTGGCAGTGGACTATCTTTAAAGTGACACTAAGTCATTCTAGCAAGTTAATGAAAAGGACAAAATGCTGTTCACTTGTGGAGGCCCTACTTTTTATGGAGCAGGATTGCAGTCTCCATCTGTATGCTTATTGTTCAGCCCAAATCATTTGATTTCCTGAGACTCCTGGTTTCTTTGGGCAACTAATTGATGCTCATATTTACATTTCATCCTGAAGGCCTTTTACCGCCAGAGCCAGACAGCTGGCATAGCAGAAGACCTTGAACAGTAATGAATTCTAGTGAGATAATGTGTGCATTTGTAAGAGAACTTAAAATGTTTTTTTTATATATAGGAAAAGGTATCAGTGCAATTACACCAACTTTAGACTAGCTCCACTTTACCATCAGAGGTTTAATAGCAATTTAGTACTTCAGCCTTTCTTTGTAATGCATTATTCAGTATGCACAGTCCTGGAATGCAGTAGGCCATTTGTTTTATTTGTTTCGTAGAGTGAAACCTGTAACAAATATTTTGCCAATTAAACAAATAGCTGGAAAAGGGGCACATTTTCTTTTCTCTCCAAATGATCCTTTTAGGTTGATCTGTTTTAATTAGAGACATAGAACATTGGACTATGTACACTTTTATGTAAATGTGAAAATGTGCTTACCTTCAAACTATTAAACATGTAGATGAGTTTGTTTCTTCATAAGAACAAATTTGGAAAAATTTAGCATTACATTACTTGCTCTTCAATGGATCCTCTGCAGTGAATGTGTGCCGTCAGAATGGGAGCTCAGAAAGCTGATAAAAACATCACAGTAATCCACAAGTAGTCAACACTACTCAAGTTCATCAAATGATGTTGTGTAAAGTGAAACGCTCCATATTTGTAATAAATTCATCAAGGTGTTTTTAACTTCAAACTGTTGCTTCTGGCTAAAATACAAGTCTTCTATCCATAATATTGATTTCTCCAGTGAAACTGCACAGGTCAAAAACTTTGAAAATGGTTCTAAACAAATGTGACCCTGTACCACAAAACCAGTCACAAGTAGCACGGGTATATTAGCCAAAAGTACATTGTATGGGTCAAAATGATCGATTTTTCATTTATGCCAAAAATTGTTAGAATATTAAGTAAAGATCCATGAAGATGTTCCATGTTCCATGAAGATACTTTGTAAATTTCCTACCGTAAATATATCAAACCTTTAGAGTACTTGCACTTTTTTGTGCGTACCGGCACTTCTGACATGTTGCCTGTACTCAGAGTAAAAGTGTCAGGGTCTGGGTGATTATATGATCCCATATATGATTAGAAAGGACACTATATAAATCACACTAGTGGGATCACCTCTCATCTCGACCAATCATGTGAATGAATGCAAGCGGAGTGTGTGGGGCGCGAGAGCATGTCAGAGGAGGCACGCAGAGTAGTAGAATAATAATTATTGATTACTAGTTTGAATCAGTACTTTATAATGAAAATAATATCTTAAAATGAAAAGAAGCAGGCTTTTGCAATCACATCATTTTAAACCGGTAAACTCCTGGAAAGTCCAAGGATCCAGTAAACAAATTCAAACAGTAAGTTCAAAACAGTGCTAATGCAGAGAAAACATGGCCGATTTCATCAGCGATTGCGGAGAGAATTGTGACTTTTGTCCTGATGTCAGTAAAATTATTATTCTCAGCGTGTATTTGGATTAAAAACAAGAGTGTTTTATAATGAACGCTGATTATGCAGTGGTCAGAGATTTAGCGATTCTGAATGGATCCATATAGTAGTAAAGGCAGGCGATTTAGTGGTCTTTGGCATCTCTCTGTGGTCCTGTTTGGAATTGCAGCTTGACTTGTCCTAATTTGTATTGAAAACTTTTATTTAATTATTGAATGTGGCACTATCCATACATTATGAATGATTAAAAAAGTACTTATTTATTTAATATAAATAAATAAATAAATAAATAAATAAATAAATGGGGGGGGGGGGGGGGGAAGGGCCCCTTTT